AACCAGTGGAACAGCTTGCCACCAGAGGTTGTGAGTGCTCCATCACTGGAGCCTTTTGAGAAGAGATTGGACAGCCACTTGTCTGAAATGGTATAGGGTCTCCTGCTTGACCAGGAGGTTGGACTAGAAGACCTCCAAGATCCCTTCCAGCTCTACTCTGATGAGCCGCCCCAGTGATCATTGAATTCAATCCTTTCCATTGGATTCAGGACCTTAAAAGGGAATGGTGTCTATCCCAAGATGTGAGTACATTTCATTAGCGCACAGCAGACCCAAAACAAATCGGTAAATATTTGAACAACTTAAGGAAGCGTGCACAATATTGTTTTAAGCCAGAGGTCTTCAAACTTGGCAACTTTAAGACTTGTGGACTTCAACTCCCAGAATTCTCCCGCCAGCCAGAGAAAGACGGAGAGCCGCTCCTTTGCAAGGCTGAGAAGCCAGAAACTCCGCCTCCCCCGCCTCTGATTGGCCTTTCCTTGTTGAACAAAAAAAGCGCCGCCCTTTCCCCCACGCTTCCTCCCGATTGGCTCATGGCTGAAGCTCGCGTTACCGGAAGCGGCGGTTGCCCGGACGACGGGAGGTGGGGGAAGCCGCGGCCCTTTTAACGGACTTGATGGCGGCGGCATCGGCCCCGCGGCGGCCTTCGTTTCTGCTTTGATCCCGGTGAGCAGCGCGGAGACCCGGGCACAGAAGGGCCCCATGGCGCTGTTGAAGAGGGGAAGGGAGGGGGGTTAGGGGATCTGGCCCACGGGTGTGGCCGCAGGTAGACTGCGCTGGGAGCGGGAGGCTCCATCTCCCGAGTCAAGAAGGGCAGGTTTCGATAGGAAAGAGTCGCTGCAGCCCCGATTTGGGGGTAGGGGGTGGGTGTCTGCCTTTTTTTCACCTTGAGCTCCCGCTTTTAATGAAATCGGTTTTAAATCTCTGGGCGGCCTAAATTAAATTATATATAATATAATTATCTCTCTATCATAATAATATAAATTAAATTATACACACACAGACACCTACCTATATAATAATTTAAATTTAATTATATAAAAAAGCTGTGCTGGCTGGAGAATTCTGGGAGTTGAAGTCCACAAGTCTTAAAGTTGCCAAGTTTGGGGACCCCTGTAAATCTAGTTATTTCTATTAATTTAGCAATGTTTCAAAGCTGCCCCAGGCCTAAAACCACCTATTTACTTATGTTTGTTTATTTAATCATGTAGCGGCGTTTCAAAAGCCTGGAGGACTGATTTATTCTGGTTTATTTCAGTTGATTGTATTCATTTATTTAACAGCATTTCAAGGGGCCCCCGGGCCTGAAGAACCTATGTATTTTAATTTACAATTTTCTTTTTGATTGAGCAGCGTTTCAAAGGCTCTCCAAGCCCAAAGGAAAATACTTATTTAATTGTAACTTAATTAGATGAATTGATTGAGCAGCATTGCAAAGCCGCCTGAGCCTAAAGGGGTTGACTTATTACAGCGGATGCATTCCTGACATTTCTTTTATAGCTCTCCTCTACTGATAAAAAGCCCACAAATAATATAAACATTGGTACAGGATCCCCGTTGGTTCGTCTGGATGACCGCCAAATGGGCAGACTTCATCTCCCAGAATTCCCCATGCTCATTGCTCCCATTAGTGGTATGCTGCCTTTGGTGATATGGGCAACTATGTAAATTTGATAAATAAATTCTGGAGATCTTGCATTGCTCAGGCCAATGTCACCCCCCTCATTCATGTCTATGGCAATACCGTAAAACAGGGGTGTCAAATGCAAGTCCTGGGGGCTGGATGTGGCCCATGGGGTGCTTAGATCCGGCCCATGGGGCTGCCCTGGAAACAGCACAGGACTGACTCAAGGTGCCTCTGCCAGCGAAAACAGCCAGCGAAAAAACGGAGCTAGGGAGGGCCATGTGCAGCCCTCCCGAGTTCCATTTTCGCTGGCAGAGGCCTGCAGGAAGCCGTCGCAGCTGAAAACAGAGCTTGGGAGCCTGTTTTTACTGGCAGAGCACTCGGGCTATGACAGGCACAAGTGACGTTGAGATGGTCATACCCACCCAGCCACCCCCCACCCCCGCAGGTCGA